GTAGTCCTCACGTGTTCCTGAGAGTACTAATGGTTCAAACACGGCAACTTCATATAGGAATATACGGGTCACAGCGGCCAGTTCAGATGCCATCCTAATAAAAAGCATCAGAAATTTCTTGTGCAAAGCTAAACACTCATATACATGTATTTTGACCAGTTATGGAAACAAACATTGTTCCTGTACACATATACAGAGGGAACAGCATGGAGGCATACTTGGTGACTGACACTTGGGGAAAGGCCTCTCCTCCTCAAAAGACTCCATCTGAGAATTCCACAAGGCAGAAAAGCATTAGAAAAAAAAGAAACTGTGCCATTTTCACCAAGGCAGTTGAAGGTTTTGCATATTGAAATATTAAATCCTACAATTCAAAGACACCAGAGCCTCCTGACTAGAAACCTAACACAGAATGGAAAACATAAGCAACTTCAAACTGCTTTGCCTCTCCATTTGCAGTAACTTGCTGTGCCTTTGTCCAGCAACAGTACTTGTGCTTACCTGATTTAATCGAAGCCATGAATAAAAGAGCAAATTCTGATCCAAACAGTATTAATCAGCTAGGTCATAATTCACCAGAACAACATACTATCATTACTAATTTTCCAACCTACGTGCACAAGAAATATTTAAGGCTCCACAGGCTAAAGATCCAGTGCCAAGCCAATTTGGAAGAGACACTGCAATTGCTGGAACTCTCCACCAGTAAGAATGAAACAAAATGGTTTCACCACGAAGAAGAAAATGATTCCTCTTGATTGGAAATCAGAAGAGTTACTTGGAGTAAAGAGTCCTTTAGTTGGCTGAAGGATTCTGACTTATGCCTGTAGGGATGGATGAGCAGGAGAAAACAACTCTGATTCAAATTTTATGAGAGAATAAAGATGATTGTCTTAGAGACCCAAAAAAGAAAGAGAAACAGGCCATCAATATTTTAAATTCTAGGAATTTTCTGTTCTCTCTCTTCTAATTTCTAATATGAGAAGAAAACTAAGCATAATCAGTCTTACAACACCACAGCTTAAGAACAGTTGATGCTGCAAGTGTGCAGATCTCAAATGAGATGCCCACCTCTGCTCCTCAAATACATTATCTCACAGTATGCATGTTTGAACCCAAATTGCCAGTGGGCCTCAAGTTCAGAATTTAGACCTAATTTTCCAGAAATAATATGGAAAACATTAAATAACGAAGAGTCATAACAAAAAGGAACCATGTACCCATCGGTATTTGGCTCCCTGAGGATGCAGGCCATGTGAACATTCCACAGGCACAGGAAACTCTCAGTACTGCTTCTCTCCTTTTCAGTCCATGTATGCTGAGTCACAATACTCCCAGGAGAGTTCCTGGGTTTCAGTTCAGTCAGCTCCCATGCATGCTGCATGCTGGCAGAGACAGTAGGAACTACATTGCAAAAAAGCACAGTTTGCTTCCAACACAGATTAACCATCTTTGTTTTCAAATCCCAAGGTCTGTCCAATGTTGTGTAGGTTTCCAAAATTTTGTGGTGGCAACATGAATACCAAATGGCACAGACTGCTAATGGAAATTGTGTCTGAAGGGCCTGAAATGAATCACCATGACAGCAGCATTCAATAAATGGTAAAAAGATTTTTTTCTTCTGGTAACAATAAGTTTGTTTAGATGGCAACAAGCTGTCCCATAGGCAAAATTACTTCATTCCTTTGGAAAGGATTCTCAGTGTGTTCCAACAATATTGAAAAGTCAAATTGGGAAATACTGATTTTGGTTGGTGAGGTCGTGTTCTCTCGCATTTAAAAGCACATTTTAATCTCTCTCATTTAAAACCATTTTAATGACAGACTATTCTGCAGAAAATGTACTTTGTAATGTGAGTGTCAACTCACATTTTTAACTATTCAGCTGTGTTAGATGTGGGGATAGGTTAATACATCTGTTTCAGGGTAATGTCACAACTCTACTTGGCCAATTCAATCTTTTCATGAAAGCCACTACAGAAATCCTGCTCAGTATCTCCATGGTATCTAAATGGTTGTTCAGTGATTTAAAGGCTTCAGAAAATTGTTAAAACAAGGCTTACATCACCACTATTATCTGCTTGTATTATATGTATCAACAGACAGGCAAGGAACAACTAATGGACAGTGTTCACGACGATGACTGAAGCAATGCCCAAAAAATGCCAAACCTAACCTAATGGGTGAAAAGTGAAACTAACTTGTACCAACACCAATTCTTAAGACTGGGAACTAATAATGCAAGGCAAGTTATTTATCTGTGTTGATGCAAACATTTAAGAAAACAGAAACCCATGTTTCCAGAACTGATCTAATATTCTCTGCTATAATTTCACTCTTTCATACCATGGTGAGACCATCACACTTCATGAGCAATCCTATAATAAAACACAAGGTGACTGAACAACACCCTATTCAAGTAGCACAGCATGTCTTTGGTTCCACATTCCCTTGCAAAAAGCAGCTGTACTTCTAACATGAGACAGGTAGCTTCAATATCAAAAAAAGGTAGATGGTCCAGGAAAAAACTGAAGTGCCATAAGAAACTGTAATTCCAAAAAAATACTATTTTAGCAGTCAACTTTGCTGAAAACGTAGCAACTCTATTCTGCAGCAGCTGATGATTTTTTCAGAGCAGAAGATTTTTTCAATGTGACGCAGCACTGCACAGAAAACAGTCCAACTTAAGAGTTAGCACAAGTGCATGCATGGTCAAAGATGGATCATTATAGGAGAGTATTAGATGCATATTTTCCTAGTCATCAAGGAAAGTGGGTATTCTTCCTGCTCAGCACTGTGAAAGATTCTACTGCCAATATCAGTGAGCAGATGATGAATAAGAACTAAATCAGGATCAAGACTTAATGGATTTTGTACTGAAGGATTTTTCAGACAAAAGCAAAATCACTAATCACCAACCTCCGACTACCAGCCAAACAAAGAACTAACTAGCTATTCTCAGTTCTTTCAGCAGCAATGAGCATTTCCTTTTTGCTTGATTTCTTCAGTCGCTGAGGGACTAGAGTACATATAATCTGTTATAGGCTGTAGCATAAGTTTTTTTTCTTTCAGAGCTACTTCCCATCAAGCAGTTGGAAACTGACCTGCTAAACATTCAAACCAAGTGAAACAAATGGCAAAGATTATGGAATGATATTTCTGTACTACAGAAAGGGAAAAGTTCTGAACTTCAGAAAAACAACAAAACCTAAGTCCTTCAAGACTCTTCTGATCGAACAGTATGACAACAGTCTACAATGGTATGTTTTCAGAATTGAAATTTTGCCTTCACCTTGGAGATGGATATATTTTCTCTCTGTTCTCATCAGAGTAAAGTATAATTTTATGTGCATTATCTGCTCAATTCTCTTTACTTCTACATGCACCACAGAATAAACAGTGTAACCCCTCTGGGTGTTATCTGCTAAAATAATTTCAAAATAACAAAAGCAATAACCAATATGGTAAGTTCTGTCACACACTATGCATTTGCATGCTCCCGCGATATCTTTAGTCTGGAAAGAAAAACATTAGAAAAGGATCTGGTTCAGTTCTGTTACCAAAAATACAGACAAAACCATTATAAGCTCTTAAAAGTCAAGAATCAGCATCAGCTCATAACAATGGTGCACCACAAGAACTCCAGTTTTGTTATGGAAAACTGAGTATAGACTGAAACCCATTTTACACATACCTGAGAGTAACTTCTCCAAAGTGAAGCTCACTTGATTTCCCCAGTGATACACAATACTGATTTCTTGTTAACTATTAGTTTCCCTTTGTCAACAATTCTCAGTCAGAATTTAAAGAGTACTTAGCAACATCTTGAAGAGAAAGTATATATCCTACGTAATAGTACATGTACATAGAAAATGCATATTTAACACCTTCCAGTTAAAAAATGTTGCATTCAGGGAGCTCAATATTCCTGTATTAAACACATTCATGGCATAACACAAGTTCAGCTATTCCCCTCATTTACTGAAGAGCTTCTAATCATGCAGCACAGACAAGGCCGAGAAGCTTCCAATAAACCAGAACATTAGAATGGCAAACAAAACCATCTATTAGAACCATGGCTCTCCTTTAACAGCATGAACTACCACCACGCCAGAACCAGTTGATTTTACCAACCTAGACGCACACCACAAGTGTAATCACTCAGCAGAGCAACAAATAATACCAGAGAAGGAAATTCAGGATGTCATTTTCTTCCCTCAGAAAGACTGGGAGGAAAAAATCAATTCACCATTAAACCAGCAATTATTTTCAGTTTTAAAAATCTTGCCTGGTTACAACATTGTTAATGCAAGGCATTTGTTTTGAAACCTGGGAGGACAAAAGACAATTTTCATCAGCAAACCTGATGCTCTGCAGAAGTGATATACCAGCATCTATGAAGAATCTGTATGACTTTTAATACTGTGAACTGCTATTCATTTATCATTTTTAGCAAGCTTAACACAGTTATTAAAGGAATAGAAGGGTGTAACTTCTGGTCTTTGTTCCTTCTTTCAATGCTGTTTCTCTATAAGACAGTACACTTATGAATGAAATGAAATATCCTGATACGGATCAGTGTTGACTAAAAGATATAGTAAGACGAAAACAAATTTTCTAGGCTGCCCTTCAGAGAACTCTGTAGTACCTGTTTTCACATTGAGCATTAAATAAAAGTTTTTCATACGTTTCCACCTTGAGTATTACAGAGCCACCTAACAGAATTTATACTCACGTAGTAATGAAAGTTTGACATAATTG